TGGGACGAGGAAATGGCAATTTCGAGGCATTTTCGTCTGTCCCTGTTCCTCCGCCCAGTTTCAAGCTGTGAGCATCCTGAACCCTCGCCCCGTGCTCTCCGTGGAGCTCACGTCCAGGGACAGCCGCCGCAGCGAGGGGGGCAAGTGCTGCAGGATGGCAGCCACGTCCTCATCTTCGAGCCTGGTGCTGGAAGGATCCGACCCCAGCTTGTTGTGGCTGACAAAAAAGCGAAGAGCCAGCCAAGAAGAGTCCAGCAAAACTAATCCCTTTGAGGCGTGTAAGGGCGCGCTTGGTCTCATGTGTACACGTGCTAGGTTCAAAACAACCATTGCCCCCTGTAGACTTACAAACAGCAAGTACCTCTCGCATCCATGTGCATCCTTGCGCAGGTGCGGCACCGGCAGGCCGACTGTATGCTAGGCAAACCCATGCGCCGATGCTGCACGAACAAGAACCCGCCTGGGGCACATGCCCAGGCAAAGCTCCAAGTCCGACAGCGACGAAAGCCTGGGACTTCACAGAATTTATCGCACACGAGCTCCAGGCTCCATGAGTTTCTCATTGATCCATGCCTTCAAAAAGGAACGTCGCTCCAAAAAGCAAACTTCCGCTTCCAACCCCCGAACACCCCAAACAAATTGGGTTGTAGCGATGCATTCGTCCATTCTGGCCTCCAGCAAAGGACAAGCTGGAACACAACAGTTAACCTCCCCTTCAAACCAATCCCAAAGGGGCTCTGACCCCAAAAAGACCCCCATGAAGACCCACATCCCAGGGGGCACGGGGCCACGGAGCCCAGTCGCTTGGCCAGCTGCGCCGCCCCCTTCGCCAGGTTCGACCACTCGCTGCGGTAGGCGTCCAGCCGAAGGACTCTCACGTCGGGCACTGCCAGGAGCAGCGCCTCCAGCCCTGCGCCAGCGATCACTGGCAGCTCCCAAAAAAAGTCCCAAAGGTTCAGCGGGCGTCTGTACTCATGGTCCGACCCAACATGTGGCCGAATGTACCAGTGCGTTATGATTTCACCACGCCATCATCTCATGTTTTCACAACTTGCCAGTTGCCAACTGGCAACAACTCTTCCATCCGCGCTAGGGTATGCCAAAGGGTCGAGCAGCCTTAAACAAAGAGCGAACTTCAAAACAAAAACCGCCGGCAGCCTGCCGCAGAGATGCAGCCGGACAGGCCCAGGTCCAGGTGTGTCAGGCCGCGCAGGTTTGGCAAGTCGTTGGCCAAAGGGTCCTGGATGCGTGGTGAGAGAAGCCCTCAGAGAAATCTGAGGAAAACCTTTGCTGTAGACCCGAATGACGAGCTCTTGACTGGGCAAATGAACAAGATAAGGTCAGAAAAACAAGGCCGCCCCTCAGCAAATCCCACACTCTCGCAGTTCGCATGCAAAATATGTGATTCAGGCTAGATGTTCGAATCTCCAGTTGCTTAGAAGGGGTGGTACGTTTTCTGCAGGTAGAGATGCTTGCTTAAAGGGGAGCCCATCCGATGCTCGTTCGGCGTCCTGATGGCCCCCCTGGCTTTGGCCGCACTCCAGGCGCAGCCTCCGCGCGAGCGAGTACAACCCCAAGGTCGTCCCAGCCGATTTCACGGGGGCCATTAACTTATTTGTTGGCCTTGTGGGCGCTTGGGGGAATAGAAGGCTCTGGAGCTCTTTTCCGCGCGTCCGGATTTTTTAGGCCTGGCAATGGTGCATTGCTAGTCCCGTGGCTTGTGCCCTGACCCCCTGCAAACCAGGCGCTGTGTCAGGTTTGACGGCAGCTGCTGCAGGAGCAAAGACAGTTTTGTGGCCGATGGGCTGCCCAAGCAGTCCTCGCACAGTTCAAATAAGCAGAGCCCCCTCAAAGGCCGTTCAATCGGGTGGGTTTCCTCATTCTAGACCCTCTTGACAAATCAGAGCCCATGCAAAGCAAGTTCGAACAAATGCTGCAAGCAAAACAATTTGAATCTCCTTTTGACAGTTGATACATGGCACCTTTCGCGTGGATTCAAGGATGATCGGCTGCTCTACCTCACTTGCAAACAAAGGCACGCCTTGACCATGATTCAGCTGCCAACACACAGCACTGTCAACACCTTCTTTGGCCGGTATGGCCTGAAAACAAGCTGCAGTTTTAGCATGAAACTTGGAAACAAACATGATACATTTCCTGACGTCTGAACATGGATAGATGAACTCTTCTGCAACTCTCTGTTGACTCCGGCACGCACGGAGCCGGCGGTTGAGGTGCAAACGTTCAAATAAGGCAGCCCCAAAAAGTGCTCTCCTTCTAATGCCCAGCCAAAGCCACGGTATGTCTCATGGCTCGCTTTCAAGCCATGTCGAACAGAGAAAGATCTACGACCGTAACTAAGAAACGCTTAGATTTTGGGGTCAGCTGATTGAGGCTCGCCACCATGTGAGCAAGGGATGCTCCCATGGTGCATCCTTCCATTGGCCATACCTCCCGGCGACGGGCCCAAACGGCGCCCAGCAATGTCCAGCTCAAGACGCTTTAGACAAGGCGGCAGGCACTGGCCCAGCCAAAAGAAGACCTCAGTGCTGCAAGCTGCTCCCTTCTTCAGATACAGACCGTGCGTGTGTGTGTGTGTGTGTGTGTGTTCCTACAAGATCTACAAGCTACGAAATCACCTGCCCATGTTGTTCACAATTCATGGGGCAATGCCCCTGAAACTGAATGTCCCTGCCTCACCTAATTCTTGAAGACCGCAGTTTGCCCTTGGGAGGCAATTGAGCAACTGGGCAACGCCGTTTACCGGGCGAGGCTGGGCCACTGGCCCATTCCAAACATACAATTTTAAGAACCTTCTTTCCACACACACAAACGCGCACACACACACACACACGCGCGCGCACACGCGCACGCACCATGAGCCATGGGCTCCCTCGGCGTGGGCCCGAGGCTTCGGCCCCGGCATCAAGGTCCTCTTTCGGCGCGTCGAGGCGCAGGTCCCGGAGCCGCAGCTCCGCCAGCGCCGGCAGCAGCGCCGGCAGATCAAGCGCCGGAGACCTCTGGCTGTGACGAGGAAAACACCGGCGAAACAAGACGTTGGATGAATGTTTTCACCACTTTGACCTCCGACTCGAATTTCGGAAGCCCTCTTGCGCAACGGGGCTGCGCAACGGAGGGGGCTGAGTGAGCGACCCGGGAAGGAAGCCCCACCTATCCCAAGGCCACGGCGTGATCTCCAGCGCCCGCAGGCCGGGGGGCCAATCCCAAGCGAACCTATGGCGAGCCGAGAAGGAACCGGCTTAAGGGAACGCCAGTGGCCACGAAAATTGAGAAACGGAAACTCCCTGAAACCAAGAAACTGCTTGATATTTGGTCAGAAGCCATCTCAATTTTGATGCGCCACATCGTGCTAGGCGCCACAAAAGGCTTCCTGGGCCCATCCCAGGCTCCATTTCCGGCCCTGGGAAGAAGGAGGCCTGGCCTGCCATCCTCCAGGCGGTCCAAGTCCAGGCGAAGCTCTTGCAAGGTGGGAGGCAACGACCTGAAGCAAGAAACCCGCAGAAAAAGATGCGACAACCCCTCTAGCTGGGATGTTGCTGCAGCCGTATGCTAGAATTTAGAATTCCCCATGGGCATAGGGCGGAGCTAGAGGCGAAATGTGAAAGCCGATTCTTTGACCCCAACAAATTAAACATTGAAGCCAGGGGGCGTTGCTCTGGAAAGCTGCGACAAACATGGTTGATTCTCAAGGACCAACTTAGGGCCAGGACTCCCAAACGATATGAAGAGGAGCAAATCAAGCCCAGGTTTGAGAGATTGTCTGAAGAAAACTCGCCCCAGAAAAAGCAATTTGGAAAGAGCTTGACGCCCGGGGAAACTCATTGGGATGAGCGAATCGTCTTGAAAGAGTCTGAAGAGGTCAGAAACCGTGCCTAGGCTGCAGTCAGATCAATTCTTGTAACTATCAGCTCAAATGTTTACTAATCACAAAACACCGCCCAATGCGTTTGCAGCCAGGGGATACAAGAAGTGCAAGATGAACCCTCTTGCAATACAGAGTGTTCCGCAAACATTTGACTCGGACTGGGGCGATTAGCAGGTCTTGTAAGCCCCTGGAAAGATGTGTTGTGCCCATCTGCAAAATGGATGCCGTCGATTCGAAGCTGCCGTTGCAAACTAGGCACAGTGCGCAACAAACGCAGCCAATGCGGCATGATGCAACATGACCTTACTCTCAAGACGTTTCTCAAGATGCTGGGGTATCCTCAATCTTGAGTTGAGCTTTTTCCCTTTCAGAGCCAAGTCTTGCCATGCGACTTGGGAAACCGCAAGCGCGCGGGGCCTGGCCTCAGGCCGCTCAGCCTCAAGCCGGTGGACACCAACTTCAGCTCCAGGTGTGTCAGCGGCAGCTGCCCTACAGCCTACGCCGCGGAACGAGGCATTGCGCGGCTCGTTTTTTTTTTTTAAAAAAAAAAAGGAAAAAAAAAGAAACACCAACGAGAATGGGTGGGGGGCGGCGTGGTTGGGGGGGCAGCACGTCGGTCAAGCCACCAAAAAGGTACGTGATTGATTCTAGGAGACACCGAATTGATTGGCCGCGGGGGCAGAACAGTTCAAACATGACCAGTGCTGTTGGACACAGCAATCTACATGTTCACCACATCTTTCAAACCTGATTGAAAATGGTCACCACCTCCAAGTGCAGGTTTGATTTTTGAATAAATCTTCTAAAGGGCATCCAAGTATAGTTGTGAGACTTCCCATGGGGTCGGTACCAGCTGCACGTGTTTTACCGCGTGCCTGCAGCAGGCCATCCCCGCAGCGGCAAAAGCTGAGATCAAGAAATAGCTCCTGGCGCTCTGAAGGAACCAGAGATGCAAGATCCGGTAGCCAACCGCTGGATGCTGGAGCCCCGATAGTAAGCATGGGTGTCACAAAATGATGTAGCTGGAGTCAGCTGAGGGATGGCCGCACAAGCGCGTGCAAAGGTGCAAAGAGTAGAGAAGCTGCATGCGTTACCATCTTTACCTGGAAGGGACCCCCGTCAAGTCGCGCAAACACATGCTCACCAGGGACAGACAACGCACAAACAAATGGACAGTGCCATGCACTGCGTGACGGTGCCTGATTGCTGGTAGGGCAAACCTTTATAGTCTTTGCATATTGATGGGTATATCCGCATTTGGCGTTTCCAGCTGACAGGCTCAGCACTTAGCACTTGCCCCCCCTTGCCCCAGAAGCCGGGAAACAATTAAAGTCCACTACCATCGCCAAACACAGTTCTCGCGCTTGCTCCAGTCAACAAGGAAGCCTACAGTGTCCAAACAACCAAAACATCTTGGCCATGGAGAGGGCACAAATCCATGGCACCACATGGCACCACTCCCTCCTCGCCCGTGCCTTCAAAGTGGGCGGCAGGCGGGCGGCCAAGTCACTTGCGCCCTGTGGGCCCAGACCAGAGGCGGCCAAGCCAAGCTCCAGCCGCTGGGCCTACCCGGCGGACTCGGGAAAAACCGCGTCAGATGACACGAGTTGGCCAACCCGCACGAAACCGCCGCTTGCTCGGCAAAAGTCCAGCTCTTGCCAGTGTTCTAGCTCAACTTTGATCCAACGAAAACTCGCTCAGTCACCTGCAGCCAGTGCTTCTCCTAACTACATGAAACTCACATGCTCTGGCCTTCCCTCAGGCCCACCACAAACACAGTCAGACAGTCAGGGCCGCGGGAATGTCATGGAATACTGGAATGCAGCAACTGGGCAAGCCGGGAACAAAGGAGAGGAGTCTTCAGAGAGCCATTTCAGCCAAACCGTGCAGCGCTCGGAGCGGCTTCAAGCTGGGCCCCGCCTTTGCCGGCAAGCGCCGCAGCAGGACCTCGAGATCGGCGCCTTCTAGCCCGTTGCGGCCAACCTGAGGCATGTGGCAAGTCTGATCCCCCGCTAGAAGCTTCACTTTTAGTGGGTTAAATGGAAATCCCCACTTGACACTAAAAAGCTAAAACCTAAAGGGATGGCTGGGCAACCCACCAGAATGGCAAGCCGGCTGCGTCTCTCAAACGGGGCACATCCAGATGCAGCGCTGTGAGGGTCTCCGGCAAGGCCTCTGCCAGGTACCGGAGCCCTTCGCGGCCCAGCCCGCACTCGCTCACCTCGCTGCCATTTCTGGGGCGGGGGGCGGGAAATTGGGCAGGTATGATATGTTTTTGTGTTTTTGTTTCATGCGGGACGCACATACAGTTGTAATTCGATGTGGGGGTGTATGTCGTGTTTACCTGTCTGTTTATATTGGTGGCTTGGGTGAGCCTCAAATGGGTTGTCTGCACTTGCCCTACTAGTCATGCACTTATCGAAGCAACCATTAGCTGGGACTAACCTAACCACACCTTCGCTTGCAAACAACCTGTAGCTCCTGCTCATGGCTGTCTACAGCTCCCATCCATTTAAAGTGAAAGAAAGGGATCCTGTGCAGGATGACTCAAAGACACCAGGAGATAGTGACCCTCTTTCTCTTGGACTCCTGCCTTACAAAGAACTCCTTTGAGCTCGAAGCCTCACTGACCATGTGCCCAAGGCACGTCGAGACTGAGCTTCCGCTGGGTTCTGGGAAGTCGGCGGCTCAAAGCCAGGGCGCCCTCCGGGCCAATGCATCGGCCGGTGAGATCCAGGCCTATGGGCACGCACCAAAAGATGCGGCTTCAAGCAAGGCAGTTTATTAGGATACTTGATTCAAAACAGAGATACGCCAGAATAAACATGAATAGGCCCAGCCAGGAGGACAGGACATGCATCCTGCCTACCCTTAAACAGTTTTCGTGGTGCCAACGAGACTTCCAAAGGGAGGTAGTCTTTGAAGTAATTATGTCAGCTGTTCGGGGGAAAGGTGCGGATCCCTGGTCATTCAGTGACCACGTCCGCAATTCCAAGCAAATGGAGAAACAAACCGAAATAGAGCAAAGCCCCTTGCTTGCAGATCATTCCCCAAATCCTCAAGATGTGCGCTGACCTTGGCAAAGGCCGGCACAAATGTTTTAGACGTAAAGCTTTGCAATAATCCACTCCCAACGTCTGCTTCGGCCCTTCGGCCCTTTCAGGCCAATAAACGCATGTTGGCACCTGCACTGTCAAACGCCCGGACCCCGCTGCCCTGAACCCCCAAGCCCGGCAAGCCCTGGGGAGGAGGAGCTGGCAGCACAGCCGCTGGAGCCTTGAGAGGTCGGCCCGCCTTCGAAGACCTGGGGCCAAAGCAGCTCCGCGCTGATGCGCTTGGAGAGGAGCTGCCATCGGAAGGCCTCTAGTGGAACGAAGGGCGCCAAGCTTACCTCAGAGGCGCGAAATGCGAAGTGGTCAAGCGGCCCTTGATGCGCTTGACAATCGCTGGGAACACCATGAACATGCTGACTGCAACATCAGATCAGAAAGGGTCAGAATCTCACAGCCATGGGCACTGGTCCAATATCAAATATCAGGTTGGACTGGGTGAGATCATAATGAAAGTCTGCTTCCTTAAGCCAAGCTGCCAGGATGCCCTGCCACACTCCCGGCTGGCATTGGGCAAGCGCCATGCCCTTGCATCAGGAAAGGAGCTGACCGCACACGGTCACAAGCGACTTGAGCAGAGTCAAGCGGCGGAGGGCTTTCGGCGAAGAACAGGGATCATTGGATCATGGAAAGAAATAGCCACTGAGAACCAACAGCTGCTCAAAGGCAGGCAATGCTGAAGAATCCTTACAGTTCTCACGAGCGACTATCAACAAAGGCCACGCACGGAATCCTAAACAGGAAAAACGCACTCCTTCTGTGTGGCTTTCTGTGTCACATTCGCAACGGGGGCACAAAGCCACACCCAAGTCAAAGACACAGTGGGCTGGCACGTTCAGCTGTTGAAACGATCGTCGCCTAGTACAGCCATTGCAGTGCGGAGCTCTGGCCGCGACGCCTTTTTTCACACCCACCATCTGGGCAGCGGAAATGAGGCGGTCTGCTCTTCCACCACTTGACTTCGAAGAGCTTTCAAGGGGTGGTCCTCAGTCACATCAATGCACCTGCAAATGACGCGTTGTGCTAGCCAAACCAATGATATCCCGCCAAAATTGGCCCAATATCATCAATACGTCGCCATACGACACCAGCTCCCCGGATTTGGCGCCGAGTTGCTGACAGCAGCACCTGCCAACTCTCAGAACGCTCTCAGTCCGCGTGTAGCATCGGCAAGAATGCTAGCACTGCACAAATGCCCACGAGGTGGGTATGAAAGGTACACAAGCATCATGGTGAACACAAACATGGTCTTGCCAGGTGGGTTGCAAAGGCACGGGATCGGAAGAATGCCAATCAACGACCCCCATTCCCTCCAAGACATGCCACCATTGACTGCAAACCCAAAACTCCCGCAGGAAACCAGCGGGTAAGCATTGCAACAGAAGTTCCAACCCAATCCCAAGACTCCATAGACGACCGTGGCTGCCAAAACCCCCAGCCAGCCAGCGCCAGCCAAACCTCAGCTTTCGCCTCGCAGCGGATGTTGGGGGCCATAGTGCCCCGCCAGCAGCGCCGCGTACCCCGGCCCAGGGGGTTTACCCGGAGGTCCAGTTGGCTCAGGGACCGGTCGTTGTCGAGGTTCGACACCTCGTGTCGAAAGCAGCTGGGAGAAGAGGGGTCACAAGCCAACCGCAAATCGATGCGCATCTCATTTTGACATGCAGGGGCGGAAAAACCAGAGAAGCTTCGGAACATGAGCAGCGTTGGCGCCAGGCCAAATCGATGCTAAGCATGCTTGAGGATGGGCATGCATTTTTTTGCCAAACATATTTGAGCACACAAATAGGAAAGTCCGCAAGGGGCCGTCATCAAAGAGCCCTGTGGCAATACGCTCCAAGAGCGCTCGGGAGGAATCAAAGGAAGCCATTTGTTCAAAGCTCATGCTTAGACTGGAGCTCTGATTTACAATCCCGGGTCTGGGACCGGGAAAGTGGTGCGGTCACTTGTAGCAGCAACAACGCCACCAAATGCACAGCTTGGGCAGCTCAAGGGCTTTGCTTGCGCAAACTCACCAAACACAACCTCTTTCCATGTCATCAAAGGCCTCATCCGAAAATGGAGTCTTCGGCACTCCTAGCCAGGGAGCGAGCCGCCAGAAGCCCGTAAGGTCCACCTGGCAGTCCTCTCGGAGGCAGCCGTAGGTCAGTGACGTGGGCTGAGTATCTGGTCTTCAAAAAGCGGATTCCTGAAGCAACCCCAAGGCATCTATTGTTTTGGGTTTTGGCACTTGCAAGAGGTCACCCCAACACAAACGAACCCTTGACCCAAAAGACACATTAACATGAATTGACCGAAAGAGAGATGACAAACCGAAAGGATCTATGAAACCTTCGAGGGCAAATTCCTTTGCGTCGAGCTTTGCGGGGCGCTCAGCGCAAGCAAGGGCGAGCGGCAGCGAAGCTGCCCCCTCCGGTCCTTCAGTCGCAACACTCTGAGCTTGTGCTCGCTGGAGCCTCGGTTTTAGCGATCCATCATGCCCATTGACTGCTGGGAGTTGGGCAACATTTCCAATTGGGATCTGCAAAGCTGGGGCCGACGTTGTCCATTTCATTGCCATTCTCCACACAGCCACATATATTCAGCTCCTGCTGCAAATTCAGATTGCCGTCTTCCACGCAAGTATGAAGCAGGAAATCCCTTCAAAAAGGTTGGTGAATGATCACGAGCTCACGAGGCCCAAAAAAAGCTTTGGTTGTCCGCGGCGCTGGGATAAGACAAGCACCACCAGACCCCTACCTGACGGTAGTTGCAGTGCGGAATGGACGCCTAGTTGGTCTGAGTAGCTTAGCACCTTTGCAAGCTCTTTGCAGCCTGCAGCACCCAAGGGGTTCTCCGACAAGTCTAGCTCACCTGGCCCGACTGGAAGAGGTGTCGAGACATGTTTCCAACATGACATAAGTAGCGTAAGGAGTAAATGAGATATGCAACTTTCATTGCCCAACTTTCATTGGGGGGCCCAGATGCAGGGCAGAAATCAGAATATATAAAGCAGTGAAAACACTTGGCAGGCCACATCACCACAAAGGGCTGCCTGACCTGATTAGCCAGTGCCGCGTGCCTTCCGCGCGTGTGCAAAGTTTAGGGACTTCCAGAAATGGACGGCTTACAACACATTTTCTCCAAACCAATGGCAAGCGCTTCCACTGAACTTGAATGGACATAGCTCTCCAGCACCAACTGCCGCGCCTAGGGCCAGAAAGGGGTCTTCTCGACACAGAGCCGCTGCTAGCTTGCCTCGCAAAAAAAGGAAATAACGGTACTGTACCCATGGTGATCCATTATGATTGGCAACATCTGCCAGCTACTTTATCCGGACCCGATAACTTCATGAGGTTTCACTCATGACCGGCCGGCAAGAACGTGCATCCACTTCTGCAAGGAGCTCAGATCAATTTTGATCCAGGGGCCCAGGGTGAGCAAAACCCTCAAGTTGATTGGACAGGGGGACCGTCCCGTTTAAGAGGCACACCCTCATTCCCTTATCATGGGAGGCTGCTTCATGGGTCGACCCTCTGAGCCATGCGTGAGCTTCGAGACCCTTCCCAAGCCGATGTACAAATGCAGCCAGGAAGCCCAGCTTTTTGCTCGTCAGCCTAAGTGCGAAAGCCGTGCAGCCCACGAAGCCTGAAAAATTTGGCGGCAAGCTTGTCTCCTTTGCAGTGGATCTAGCCTTCTCTGTACAGGGCGTTACCTCTTCGTAACGTCTCTGTATTTAATGTTTGTTATTTCACATGATGGGGACAAAAAGCTTAAACCCTGGATTGCCGTTTGCATCTTTACGCTCCTCTGCAAAAGCCACAGGACCCGCCACAAAGAAATTCAGAACGGAACGGGGCATATGATTTGGCCCCTTTGGATGGGGAAGAGTTGGCCAGAATCATCCCCGCCGGGCTGATTTCGGCAAGCAGCAGGTTCCGGCGCAGAGAGAGGAACTCCAGTTGCCCCAGGTGGTCCTTCAAACCCTCCGACACCTCTGCAAGCCCAGAGTCCAACAAACCACAGCTGTCCTTAGCTGAATGCAGAATTGGCCGAACTATTGGATTGAACATGTGTGCACTTCATAGTTTGAACGTCCTTTTCTTTGAAGAGAATCATGGTCTGGCTGTCTGGCTGAAAGAAGCATGTTGCTCAACTCATGACTGCACGCCCGTTTGGGCGAACACGTCAAATCACTCAGCCTTACATGCTCGGCCTTACAGCTTTCGCCAGCTTCCAATGGTTGGTCCAAATCCGGCTTCCCGCACCTCCATGCCCACAATAAAATTGGAAGCAATGGGCGTCTGGTCCAAAAAGATTCCCCCGGGGAACCGGGGCCAACAAATCTGACCAAAGCAGCTGGAAAAATAGCTAGTCACCGGTTGCTGCATGAAGTCTTTCTCGCGATGGCAAATTGGTAGCCAAAACTGCGACACTTCCCTGCCAAGTGGCCAGCTTCACTTCAATGAGCGATGTGTTCTGCGCAAGCACATTGCGCATCATCTTTGCGCCAGATGGTCCCAAATGCACTCCAGTAAAGTGAAGGGCTTGAATCTCCTGCAAACAGTCCCTTGGCTCTCTTGTGGAGTGCCACCAGCACTCCCTCAGTGCATGCACTTCAAACTGTAAACCTTTTACTGGTAAATTGGATTGGTAGGGTTGGAGAGCAGCAGTACAAATGGTGAAGCATTTTCTTATACTCATCCTCTCATGGAGCGGGAGCGTCACAGGCAAAAATTATCATTCTTGTCATGTTTAACATTATTGTTCTTATGTAAGTATTGCATTTACTGCCTTCTGACCTCCCCCATTGCAAGCTGCGAGGCGCCACGCGTACCGCTCCTTGTGGCTGCGGAGACCCTTGCAAAGCCACTCCAGCGGCCCAGAACCCAAGTCCACATCCTCGATGCAAAGGATGCGGAGGCACGGGCTGCGCTGCACCATGAACTCCCACCTCAGTGGGCCAAATGGAATGGCAAACGACATGCCCATGAACGAAATCCCGGGCCGCCTCGAGCGAGCATGCCGCCTCATCGAGCAGAAATCACAAGCACTTAAGCCCGGGCCCACAGAAACAGGGTGGCTTCGGCCAACTCAACTGGATGCTTGACCGTTGGCCGAAGTGGAAACATGCCAAAGTGTCGAGCACAAACAGCCAGCTCTCGTGGATTATCTGAAGAAAAGCTGTCTGCTCACTTGATGCGACAATTGTGCGCACAGGCTCAATGTACAAACACCTGTGCAAATCTACATCACGGTAGTGTTCGACGATGAAGCAGCCCACACAGATCCAAACGCATGCGCTGTTGCTTGTGTTGGCTTCGCCGGTCTTCAACAACATGTTGACACACAGCATGAAGGAGAAGGCAAGCCGACAAATCAAGTTGCCTTGCAAAAACTCGGAAGAGTTCCAAGTTCTGCTGCAGTTTCTTCAGCCAGTGGCAGGTCGGTTGCAAAAGGTATCGAATGAGATCTGGACGTTCTTGCAAGGTGGTGTGCGGAATACTGCATCAGCAGTTTGCGCACTGAGTGGGTGGAGTTTATCAAAAGCCAGCCACGCAGGGCATCATATTTGCCTACAGGACTGGGGAACTACCTGGCTTCGGTAAACGTAGTTGGAAAATTGTGGACTGCCCAAGGCCTGCCAGAAACGCAACGGCACGCACAATGCGAGCAAAAACTGCAAAAAGCCAGCTCGTTGATATTGTGAAGCGAGGAGGAGAAGTCTGATCCATCATGTTGTGGCAGAGGGTGCGTTTCAAAACTGGGGAGCTGCATGTTAAATGAACACTCGCGTAAAACCAATCACTTTGGCGCGTCAATGGTGACACGTCTGGCACGACGTTGAGGCTGGCACGTCCACAGGGCGTGGGTGTGGAGGTAGGGCGCGTCCGATGCGGTCAGGCCCTCGCTCAGCTGGGGTCGTCCGTCCAACTCCTGAGGAAGTGATACGCATCGCGCTGGAAAATTGATGTGCAACCCGAATGTGACATCAAAAATCATCATGCGCTGCGCGAGCTTGTTCCACTCCCTTCAATCAGGGTTCGCGGTTGAGGGTGCTGGATCATGTTGAATTTAGATGTATCAGCCGGCATGGGCATTGGGCCTCCAGCATTATTTGACAAATCGGTCCTTGAATTCCAAACCTTGTCTTAACTCAACAATCCCAATACCTCCTCGCCGCATTGACACATGAACCTGAAAAAACCATTCGAAAGGAACATGCCAAATGACACGAAGAACAAGCAAACTCGCCTAACATTGACTTGCACTCTATGATGCATGTCTCCCGCTGACGGGAACAACATGTGTGCACCAATCATGTGACTTCGTCCCGTTGGTTTGAGATGACCCTTTTCGCTCAACGCTCCGCCAACGTCATGCCACCATCCAAGGAAGATTACTCAATTACCATGTTCTGCAGTTCTGCTTGAGTCAGTTTGGTTGTGCTATACCCGTTGGCCAACAAGATCCGGCCCAATGGCATAGAACTCGTCCGCAACAATGTGTGGCTAGTGCGCGAGGCAGTTGTTCAGCCAGACACGCTGCTGGGTTTCAATCTTAAGAAACCAAAAATTGGCTTCTCGGAGATGATTTGTAAAGGGACATCCTCATAAGTCACCAAAGGTTCATGGCCCTCCAGCTTCCTCCAGGGTGCTCTCCACCACTCGCGCCAAGGGCTGCTGCACAGCGAACTGCGCGCTCTTGTCTTCATAGGTGTCCTAGGCAAACTCCACCAAAATGCCCGAAGACCAGTGTGGTTCAAAAATCGAAGGAGCCGAAACGTAAGACCCCGACTGGCACCAAAAACAGCACCAAACATCACCAAACTGACCAGGCCCGTCACCAGTCAGTTCCAAAGGGATGAGGTGGCCCCCACTTTTCCACAGGTCATTTCGACGACGCTGGAAAACTGCAATGTACTCCGTGCGTCTGGGTAGGACATGTGCCCCACCATCCATCCCACAGCTGCTGGGTCTAAAGCCCAGTTCAATGAGGGAAGCAATAAGGGAAGCCCATACCCAGCAAAACTGAACATCGGGGACAACACCACAAGCAGCCCCTCAAGCCTGAAACTCTGTTGTTCCCAAGTCTTAGGGCCACCCTATCACCCTGACTGACCAAGGACCCCAAAGGCCCGCCCGAAGAGAAATCCCGAGCGCAGGCATGCGAGGCTCCGAGCCCAACAAGCCCCGCAGGTGCAGGGCGCAGCGGGTGGCGAGGTTGAGGCGCTGCTCTTGAAGGTCCAACTCCTTGACCAACAGCCAACATCTTCATCGAAGACACGGACAAGGCTGGACCGAAGTATTGTCTGAGTGGGCATGAAACGGGGGGGGGCTTCCAATGTGATAAGTGACAAGGGCGGTGATCCTGCTTGATTTTCCTGCATCAATACACTTACTTGCTGACCCGCACTGCCGTTCGGGGATGATGTGTCCCCTCAGTTTTTGGTTTCATGGCCGCACAAGAACTTGGAGCGTGCAACAGCCTTCCGATGTTATATGACCAGGGGATAATGGCCGGCAATAAAATCACAAAGCATCGCACAGCAAAGCGCAATCACAAGGCATTTTTCCTTCGCCGTCAACACGTTCTCCAGCACACTTGTCACGAGTTGCAAGTTCAGATTGTCTGAGACCGGCCTTGTGGCGGGCATAGTACATGTTCTCAGCCACAGTGCCTGCAGCAACACAAGCACAACGCCCGTTGCGCCGCGCTTTCAAAACACGGGCACAGGCCGAGAAAACCTTGCCGACACCCAGCGGTGAGAGCGACACAACCCCGGCCAAGTCATTCAACCCGCTACTGAAGTACCCGGGCATTGCCCAACCGGAAAAACATCATTCAACATGGGACGGGTCAACTTGGAACCCCTGAGCCACGCATAACTCCAGTTCCAGCCGCCCGCCAGGTCCCGCATCTCGTTGCGTTTCTTCGCGATGGCCTTGTCTCCGGGTTCTCGTAGCAAGGCCTGAAGCAATCGGAAGTGGATGGCCAGGGGCCGTGCGCGTGGGTCTTCGCGTAGCCCATGGAAGATGCTACCAAAGATGTCTTGACTTTAAAGACTAAATCATCTTAGCTGCAACTACAGATAAAGGATGGGCAAGTAGCCGCTACCAAGCGCTAAGCAGGCACGCCTTTGTCTTGAGCCACAAGGTCACGCTCAAAGCGTCTAAGCTGCTAGCTTACAGATGTGTACCAAGCAACAACCCCCCTGCGACAGGGCGAGGGGTGACGTGATGTGGCAACAACAACTCGAGAAAAACAGGCATCAGGCTGCAGTGGTGGCGCTGCGCAGCATCAGAATGACCTCAAAGCCGCGTGACAGGGCGAGAGCTGACGTCAGGGCTGTGCAACTTTCAACCGGACAAACGGGTTGCTGTGCGCAGCATCAGCCTCAAAGTGCCAAGCGTGCATGAAGAAAATCAGAGACACACACACACACGCGCACAACAGCCGCGTGCCCATCACGGCTGCAAATGTTTAGCAGGACTGCCACGCTTGACGCTCGTGGATTCAGCCCCGAGGCTTTTGGCACGAAAGGGCAGCCACAGTTTGTTTGGCGTGGCCGGGCTGTAACCCGCCGCATCTCGAAGGCGACAGTTTCTGCACTGTTCCGGGCTAGGGAATCTGCAACGATCCGATCAGACTCACGGCTGCCGGATGACGATTCCCTGACGGCTCGCGAGATGAAGGTCTGGAGATCTGGAAGACAAGGACGATGTCGGTTTTCTGCTTCCTTCTTCTTACTCCGCCTTCTTACCCTCATTCTTCTTGTCTATCTCTTCTTCTGCTTCTTCTTCTTCTCTTGTCCGCGTTGCCGCCCTCGCCCTCATCGCATCATCATCATCATCATCATCATCATCATCATCATCATCATCATCATCATCATCATCATCATCATCATCATCATCATCATCATCTTCTGCGCCATCGGGGGGACCACCTTCGCCCAACCTTCTTGCCGTTCTTGCCGCCGTCCATTTCTGGTTGAGATGGAGAGGGCCAGTTTGTGGCGAACCGCCGCCTCGCCGCCACACAGAGTCGGCAAATGGCTCTCCACGTCTGAATCACGCGCAAGTCCTCCATCACCAAGAGCATGAGGGATGCGAGGCGTCTTAGGTGTGGTGCAGGTGGTGAAGTGAGGCGTGGCCTCGAACGGGACTTTGGACGGAGCTTCCCCCTCGCTGCTGGCCGCCCAAGAGGGATAGTGGGACAAGAGCTTGGAACCTATTGATTTGAGCCTGAAGGGATTGAAGCTGGAAAGTCATTGGGGCTCGAAGTGTTGACTTTTCATTGTCGTACTCTCACTGGTGCGAGCCGCGAGCTTTGGAGACTTGTCTTGGTTGATGAACTGCTGACGAAGGCCATCGTGTTGTTCAAGATGGTGCCGCTGTCCGGCATCAGCGTTGACTGCGGTAGCTGGTCCCAGGCCGATGTCATTCTCCCAGCTTTCAGATATATCAGAGGCCCATGCGAGCCTCTCAGGCCCGAGCGTCGTGAGTGAACTGGTGCCGGCAAACAAATGACCAAAAGGACCGAGAAACCACAAACCTGGAGTCGTTTTTGAAGCGATCGCATATACAGAAGTTCCCTCCCGCTCGCGGTGCCTTCTGGGATTGTTCGGATCTCCGATTCCGGTCACTGGATCCTCGTACGGCTGATGACCTACACTTAAACAAGGATAGGATAGGCAAGTAAGCCACCTACCAAGTGCCAAGTAGGCACGCCTTTTTCTTGAGCCATAACGTCATGCTCAAAGCGTCTAAGCTGCTAGCTTACAGATGCGTACCAAGCAACAACCCCCCCTGTGACAGGGCGAGAAGTGACATCAGGCCTGCGCAGCCATAAACGGGGCAAACACAAAAACAGATCGGATCATGTGCAAAACGTCTGAGATGCGAGCTTACACTTGTCAACAAAAACAGCCGCAAAACTGTGGCAAGTTCCCTGTAAACCAGCGTTAGCAATCACCCAACATACTCTTTCCTTTTGGCTTAATACCTTCACTCACTGTGGCAAGTCTCTTGCAAAGGTCGCTTGAAACAAGCGTACTGTGACACCCTGCCAAAACATCACATGCATTTGTCACTTGGTTGAAAAAGGGCCTTGTCCTGCGTCTAGCTCTGCCCACCTCTTCCAGGTCCAAAAGCGCGTTGCGGTAGTCGCGCATCTGCTCAAAAGCTGCGGCTCTGCGGAACCACGCCTGGCAATGGGACCGTCTGTCTTGGAGTTCCTGAAGGGAAAAGGGCTGGTGCTGAGTCACCCTCCTCTGACGTGATGTTTCAACGTGTTGCCCTCCTAGGCGCTTCCAATCACATGTCATTTGCAGTGTCCAGGCATCACTCGAGGATTCGTAATCATGCGTTCCGCTCTGCGCGCTGCTTGTCTGCGAATTTGTTGCCACCCACTAGCCCAGAGGTGGACGCTTTCAGGTCTTCCTTGCTAGAGCATGTCCATCGAAAAGGATACCTGGTAGCTTCTCTTGAAATCACACCTGCCCCGCGGCCATGACCAACATCGACCCTGCAGCACCCTTGTTTTTGTCTTCGAGACAGGACACGTTGCAAGCAAGAACCTGAAGGAGCTAAAAGCATCGCGCCACCCCTCAGAACCAGGCCCCCAGTTCCAAGCCCACCTTCGCAGATCTGGCGGTGGAAAGCTGCAGCGCCTCGTTGGCCGCCCTGAGAAGAGGAGGCAGAACCACGGAGGGAACCATGGGGGACCTGATTTCTTGGGAAAACACCGGCAGGCTTCCACCTGAAAATGCCTGAAACTGACTTGGAGGATGGTGGATCATAGTCGCCCAAACAAATGCTGAGGCAAACTGTTGGAACCTAGCTGCTGAGATTCCCGCCTGAAGGCCACAACCAGGTTATCCTTGACTTCCACAAGCATTGTGGAATCGGCCTCAATTGAGCTGCTCTTGGGGCCAATCGTTATGCAGCATCCCCCGGTTGCTTCCAGTTACATGTCTGATGAAATCTCACCTCGATGTAAGGAACCGGACAAACAACTTCTTTCTGGAAATGGCCTTCTTGTCTTGTCTTGAAGGCTGTTCAGAACGTTCCCGCACGGCCGCAGCATTCTTCGTGATGATTTCGGCACGCAAACGCTTGCAGCCTGGTAAGCTGGACGGTTGAAACTGCATTCCCCCGCCCTCTCGGCAACCAGAAGACGCTAACATGCGTCATGTCCCAAGAAAATCTGCGCATCTTTGATCACCAAAGCCTGAAAGCTGCACCACATTCCAACAAACTGCAGTAGCCGGTATAATTACCATGGCCAAATCCGGGTCCCGCAAGACAATCCAACCTTCTTGGCGCCCTGCGGTTTGGTCGCCTGGGTCTGGGGCGGGCTCCTGAGTCAGCATGCGCCTATTTGAAGTCTTCTTGCAGACTCTGGCTGCATGCCCAGGATGGGTATAATTAAATATGAATTACACAGTACACAGTTGCTAAACAAAGCCATGATCAAGAAGCCTGCCCTTTGGGAAACACGTCGAGAAATGAAGCAATGGACGAGCACCAAATGTCACAAGGCCAGTGGTGGGCACATGAGCAAAGGTAGGCAAACCATCTGTCCTCAAGCCTTGCGTGCCAGACTTGTGTAGTTCAGCTGCCCAGAATGTTGAGGCACTGAGTTTGCTCATTGGCTTCATCTGGACTCCAAGGGCCACCAGCGCTGGATTTCGACAAAGCCCCTTGCTTCCTCCACAATAGGCCGCCCGGCATTCGGCTCCGCCTCCGTCGACTTGCGACGCTCGAGGTCCTGCCGGAAGTCATGTCTCCCCGGATGCTTGGTGTGTTGAATAGTGCAAGGATCTGCAAGCGTCCTGGCTGTGAGCCAGCAAGCTGCTGGCACAAATGTTCAGCTCCAAGGAGAGTCTCAGAGTCGAGGCCTGACTGCCCCAAGCTTGAGCTTTGGATGAAAAAGGTCATCCCAAGCTGCACCACCTGTCAACACCCCAAAGCAAACACCACATCTGCTGTTTTTTTTGGGCCAGAGTGCAAGACAGCTGCTGTAGTTGTCCTCAAGTCTGCCTATGCAGTTGTGCTTCATCAAGCTGGAAAGTGCTGGCTCAAGTCTTGGAAAGGTAAAGCTGTGTGTCACGGTGTCACAGGCCAAAAGATTGGCAGCGCACCTGGTAGTCCTCCTTCTTGCCCAGCTTGGCCTCCTGATATGGATCAAACACCATGAACGCCAGCCGTCTGCCTTTGAAACGGCAAACTGCATGACTTGGCTGCTTGCAGCATCTTGCGGCCTTCAAGTGAGTGCATGCACGTGATGCACCGACACACGGCACATGTCTGTATGTTGTAGCTGCAGGCTGGGGGAAGTCCCGACCAAGCTGACTTTGGCATAATCTGCTGGTTGGTCGTTTTCTGGACAAGATTTGGTTTGCCCCCTCCGCGTTCCGTTTTTGCGTTGCTGGACAGTCACCACCTTTGCCTTGCCTGAGGGGCATGGCTCCGGCAAATCTCTGAAACGAAACGCCTGCCCACCAACCCTCACCTGCCTGTGGTTGCTTCTCCTCGAATGCCTTCCTGCCATGGAAACGCCAGCTCACTGTACCAGATCTGCCGCAATACTACAAGAACGCCCTCAAGCCTGCACGTGAGCTATCACAAAACTATATGAAAGGTGACCTGAATAGGATGTCGAAATACGACTAGCTATGCTCAACGTCGATCATGACTGAAGAGATGGCAACAATAAAATATTGTAAAAAAAAGGCCAAGCCGGCCCTCTCAAAGACTGACCCAATAGTTGCTCCCCCCCCTTTTTCGGGCCAGTTGGTGCCCCTTGTTGAATCTTTCTTCTCATTGAGCAAAATTGCGGACACTGAGCCAATCTCAGCCGATTGCACCTGAAGGCCACATCCAAATCTGTCCAGTGCTTCGAAGAGCTTGCAAGCAACACCTGGCGGACTGGCGCGAGCGAACATCTATATCATCCCCTGCTTCATCAGGAATCCCTCGGGAACAGTTGGTACATCTGTCTTAAAACTGGTTCAACACTCTTGCCTGGAAAATCTCGGAAACTCCGCCCAACTTTAGGACCATGTGGCCCACAAAAAAAAGAGGTTCAAGCAGAGAGCAAACCCCACCCCCCACCACCCCAAACCCCCACCCCCCACCCCCAACCCGCCACCTCCCCGCCTCCCCCCCCACGGGTTCTCGCCTTGGCTTGGCCGTAGTGCACCAGCGCCAGGTCTGCCCGCTTGGCCTTGAAGGCCTCGTTGCCCTGCCGCTTCAGCGCCTCCACGTCCTCACCGAATCCGCTCGAACGTGCGGAAAATACCCTCCTTTTTCAGGGTGTCAAATCGACCCTCTACTAAAAAAGGAGGTAGTTGCCATGGAAAAACAGGTGTTCCCAAAAATACCCTGAAAAAAACATGTATTTTGAGTAGGGGGTACTCTTCCGGTGGTTGTCAACCCCCCCCGCCCCTTTCGTCAAAGAGGGGACACCAAAAAGGCCCGGTTGGTCGCCGATGGCTCCTTTTGGGATTGGGCCCTATTGGAAGGGCCTGGCCAACCACAGGAGTTCTAATCCGAAATCCGTGGGCCACCGGAACAACTATCTGACAAAAGGATGAATTGGTTTTCAACAAGCCTTTTGTAGGTGCCCTAAGGAAGGTGCCCTTCCGGACCTACAGCGGTTGGTGATGATCTCTTTCGAACGTTCCCCAACAGAAGGCATGTGCCCCATGTCCTTGACTAGTTGGACCAGCGGTTCCTAGCGCTGGCCGTGATTTAATTTCGCAATGCACGGATCTGGTAGCGCGCAGGCTATGAAGAGGCAAGCAAACAATGCACCCCAATACCTCTCGAAAAGCAAACGGTGGCACTTTCAATCAGACAACAATTGCGTCGTGTTTTGACATTTGCAATCTCTTCAATCAAAAAGCCCTACTACACTTCCATGGAGATCAGGTTGGATCCTGTTTTTTTACGGAGATCTCCGAAGTAAGGTTGCATGCCCCAAACACATGTCAAAGTCTATGGCGAACAAAATAATCATCTGGCAAAGTAAGGCGACAAGTGAGCTGGGGCCTGTTTGGCTGCCTCAAATATGTCGGTTTCCTTCATTGATGTCGCTACCAACTGCCAGTTGCAGCCGCTGTGCAAATAATCCATTTCAACCAGTGAAGCGCACAAGCTTTGCACTAGCGTCGTCCAAAATCAATGTTAGTCACGCGCCCATGTGTGGGAGACCCCTCCTTCTCTCTTTCAAGCCGGCCGGGCCTGCTTCACTTGCGGTTCCAGCCATTGGTCAAAGGGGTCGAACTTGGAGATGAAATGTTCCTCCTCCTGCTCCTCCTCCATCGTCAGCGCATAGGAATAGGCATCCTCCAGCCCCTCCTCATGAAATGCACAGCTTCCTTCCAGCGCAGTTTTTTTTCTTCAAGAATCCCCAGGAAGCAAACACAAAACATGCTCCCAAACAGCAGGAGCACGCCCTCTCAACAAACAAACGCGCTGCCCATCAACTGTGGATGCGCTTATTTGAGCTTGTTTTTGCAGTTGCCTGAGAACAGGCTTACAAACAAGGAGGGTGCGAATGGAAAACCCTTCGGAGCACTGCCATGCTGTCGGCCAGCGTCCTTTTGAGGAAAGCAAACCTGCAGATTGGCTCACTTTCACATGGACTACCCCAGCCGCAGCTTTCGAGCTGTCACTTGTTAGCGGGCTGATGCATTAGATTGCGCTAGTATGCCCCCGCCCCTTGCCCAGTCGGGTCCTCCTCACCCATCCTTTGACTGGCCGCATAGAGGGGGCACAGCAGCCCGGTGTTCCTAGGAGGTCCCAGCAGCAGCGCCTGCTTCACGCTGCTTGATTGCCAGTCCCAGCGGTACTCCTGGCACTGAGACTGAAAAACCTTCGGCAAGTACCTCGGGTCACATGGGTCCACACAAGAAGTGGGTGTCAAAGCCACTGGCTATAAGGGCCTGTTTCCGAGCAGCACGTCTTCCACATCTTAGGCCAGCGTGGCTGCCGACTCGCCATGTATGTTTGCATACGCCGGTCTTGTACCATCAGTTTGCTCACGGCTTCTGGTGGGCGTTCGCTCGACACGCCGAATGGGAGGGTTTGCGATACGCAACGGACTACAGCCTGTGGAGGAGCCATCAAGGAGGCTGCCTCTGAAACCCGTGATTTCTGCCCGTGCAAAATGCAAAACAATGAAAATAGGTCATAAACCACAAGCGTGAATAAAGTTATACGTTCGATTAAGTTTCAACAAGGCACCCCGTGATGCAAAACACGTACACGTACGGCTGTCCTTCTATTCTGCTTTTCATGCGTCCGAAACCAAGCCATGCGCCAAGCTTTTCCGCCCCTCGTTTCCACCTCTCCTGCACCATCTGCTTGGCGGGCTCCACCAGCCCGTCCTTGTTGAAGATCATCCCGCCCCCGCGGTGAATGCCCAAAATCACCACCCCCGCGCCCCCCAGCTGCTCCACCAAGCTCTCCAGGTCCTGCCCCTCTTCCTCCGCCACGATGTGGGGGAAGATGCCCCATCCTCGGCTCGCGGCCAGGTGCGAACCACATGGACAGCCGGACAGCTTCCGAGCGCTGCAAACCTCGCGGATTTTTGTTCACTATACACTTATAGGTGCTAGGGTTTGACCCGCCGGCATCGCGCGGTTTCCGCGCATGCAAGGCACTTTGTGCGATGCATAGCGATAGCTTGCAGGTGTGATGTGTCACATAGTGACCGCACTTGTCTTCAATCAGGCATCAAAGACCCCAAGAGCGTCAAAGCCAGCGTGAGCGATATGCTGACATCTTCTCTGGGTTGAGTAGCGCTCGAGAAATGATTCAAGCATAAGTCACGGCCTGCTCTCAATTCTGCAGGCCTGGCTGATGCCAAAAAACTCGAAAAAAGGTCCCGAAGGACCAAAATTGCAATGAATGTATTCAGGGGCAGCCGACATCGCCCTCCAACACAGCCCTCTAGGAAGCTCAGATGGAGGTCTCTTCCTCTTTCTTGTCAGCATCCTGGGTCTGGACCTTGCCATCCAGGTTGAGCAGGTCTGGGGCCTCGACCTCTTCATCCTCCTCCTCCTCAGCAGCGCTGTCCAAGAGCTTCAGCTCTTCCGCAGTGAACATGTATACCATGGCCTTGCGGATAATAGCCAAGGACGCCATGAAGAAGGGGAACACCACAGAGGTCTCCTTGATGGCCTTGAGGCCGTACAGGATGGCCAAGCAAATCACCTGCACAAAGGTGTACAAGTGGACACGCTTGATGGGCAGCTTCTGGATGTAGTTGTACTGCGGGTACTTGGAAGAGTCCCAAATCATCCAAAGGAAGAGGCGGTCGAAGAGGTTGTTGCCGGTCAAGGACGCGATGCCCATGTAGAAGAACACCCCCTGCAGCACGGACCGCGGCAGAAACTTGAGCACCGGAGCCAGGAAGAGCGCGCAGCCAATGAGCACGTGGATCAGGAAGTTCGTGGCGCGCTGCTCGACGACCTTAGAAGGCACCTTGGTCTCGCCCTGTGGCAGCTGCTTCACCTCGTAGGTGGTCAGCGAGATCACGTGGGTGATGCTGGGCACAGTTGAGGCCACAGACAGGGGCAGGCCCAGCACGGCGCAGGCCGGCAGCGTCAGGGCGCCTCTCACGAACAGGTCCAGGTGGTAGCCGGGCTTTGACACGTTGGAGGAGACGCAGGGTGCAGCCAAAAGGCTCCCTAGCGGCTCCACGCGCCATCCAGCTCAGGCGTCAGACGCCCACCACCCACGAGCGATAGAAGCGGCTCCGGCAACCGCGTTGACGGCCTTGACCTCCCATTGCGTGGCAGCAAGCTTAGCTCGCGCCCACTCCTGACGAGCAGACCCACGGAGTAGCAATCGCGCCTTCCAGCGCGCCGCCTCATCGGCGTCCTCATTGAGTCCACGAAGCATGGCCTCCGAGGCGACCGGGTGCGGCGCCCATTCACCGCTAACCTTGCCGTGCGATGGGACCCAAAAGAGCTCGACCGACAGGGTCAGAGCACAAAGCCGTTGGAAAGCATCAAAGGCGCGTCGCGCCAGTAGCTTGCAAGAACCACCACCTTTCAAAGTTTTGATGGCAGCTTGGCAGTCGAGGACAAACACAAAAGAGACACGTGAAGCGGCTCCTGCACATAGTCGAGCAGCGTCAGCAGCAGCCTGAAGGGCGAGGACGCCAGCTTCAACCTCAGCCCGGTAAGCGGTCTGATCTTCACCAGTGACAGCTGAAACAAAAGTTGGGCATCCCGGGGTCGCAATGGCAAAAGCAGCGACCTCATCAATCTCGGAACCATCTGTGGCAACGAAGAAGTGGGAAGGCTGTTCCTCAAGTCTTGTGCGAAAGGCATGGACAAGCTGCTCAAAGGCCAGAGGACGGGGGTCCCTTGGCGCAGCAGGTTGTTCAGGGAGGACCTTGGTAAAGAGACGCTCCTCTGCTCGGTTACTGGGGAGAGGAACTCCTTCTCTTGCTGAAGCAGTCGCCGGACATGTCCACACCAAGTGGGGCCGAGAAGGCGTGTGCTTGCCACATGCGCACTGACGGGCTGCGTCACCATGGGGTTGCCTCCGAAAACCGGGATGGAAGTGCCACCAGCTGCATCCCGTAGCCAAGCACGCAAGGAACAAATCCCTTTTGTCCGTCGCCTGCTTGAAACACTGTCTGTGGCCTTGGTAACAAGGAACTCCGGGAGCAGGAGGAGGCAGTGTCAAACCTTGAGCCAGTGGCTGATCTGCATTTGCCTGGCGTCGAAAGCCACGAAACACCCTGGCCGACGCCTTCAAAGAGTCGCGCCGGCTCCTTTCTTTAAGCCACCGAAGAACACAAGCAAAGTTGTCAACCCCAAGCTCGAAGGTGCGCTGCTGCCCATGCTGATCCCGCCTATGAAGGAGAGCTCCATCAGGCGATGCCCACCATCCAAGGTCATTGGCTGCGGCCGCAGCGCAAGGGAGTTGCTGAAACCACTTTCCAAAGACAAAGTCAAGAGGTGCATCTTCCCAGCACTGTTTCAACGAGCTGCGGTGCCTAACTGCAGCTCGGAAATGGGCTGCAGCTGAGGCGAAGAGAGGCTCGACTTCCCACCCAAGGAGCTCAAAAAGGATGCCCCAAGGCACGTCTGGCGGCAAAGTGGCGCCAAAGGAACTCACAACTGCACTGCGTATACTCTTCAAAACATCCGGTGTCAATGCTGCCAAGCCAGCAGCCCAAGTGAAGGTTGGGTTCACGAGGCATTGCAGCAAGCGTAAGCGGGCCTTCCATGAAGCAGCCACGCGGGCAATGGCAGTTATGCGGAAAAGCACGAGCTGCATGTCAAACTTCACCAGCTGTGTGGCCATCGGTTCATGAAGGTCAAACTGTAACCCAAGAAAGGTGAGTTTGTGGTCGAAGGCGTAAGGGAGGTTGCTTAGCCCAAAATTTTGGGCAACATCCGAGCTCAAAGCTGCAATCCCGCACTTCTCGGGTCGGCACCTAAGCCCAAACACACTGTCAAATTCCTCCGATTTCCGCATTGCCAGCTGCAAAAGGGGGGCTTGGGAAACATTCTGGGCCCACAAAACCCGATCGTCAACGAAAACGGCACAGCCGAGGCCGGGCTGCTGGACTGCGCAAGTCCACGGCAACATCACCGCTGCCGCGATCATAGGCGAAAGAGGGCATCCTTGCAAAATGCCCCGCCCTGCTTTGCACCATTGTGAGCCATGATAGGCGCCCGAAGTAAAGACCCGGGATCCACGCAAATAAAACTGGTCAATAAGGCGAACGAGCGCAGGAGGGGCCTTCAAGTGCGAGAGGACCGCTATTGCCTGCTGCACCTGGATCGCATCAAAAAAACGATGGATATCCTGGCGCACAAACACGCCATGCTTAGCTCGCTGCGCGACCGCATGGTTGATGCGGATGAGGCAATCTTCGACGCCTCTACCAGCCAAACCGCCAAACAGGTGATCGCCCGCCCAACTGCTCAACCACGGCTTCAGGGTCTGCAAAAGCGCTCGCGAGCCAGCGCGCCACAATACCGATGTCAAAGCAAGTGGCCGCCAGCCCCCTGCGTCTTTGGGAATGAGCACTATCTTGGCCTCAACCCATCGGCGGGGAATGCATCCGGAAGAAATCACATGGGCCCACAAATCTTCAAGGCATGACCACCAAATCGGTCCCATTCTCAAAAGATCTTTGGCGCGCCAGTCATCAGGGCCAGGGGCCTTGCGCGTCATAGCCTGCATGGCTTGCAGCAGGTCAGAGCCCTTTGCTGAGAAGGCAACAGCCTCATTAACGTTGTTTGGGACGTTGCGAAGAAAACTTTGGAATTCCTCGCCTGTGCCACGTCCAGATTCCTGGCCCCAAACCGCTGTCCACTCTCGCTGCTGCTCATCAACTGCTATGGAAGGGTGGACGGCTGAAGCGCTAACACCCTTAGAAGATGGCGCAGGGCGCGCCGCACGACTCTCCTGAGCACGGGTCAAGGCAAACCGCTTGACCCATGCACGCTGCTGGCCTTCATCTGCAGCCATCCGGGCCTTCCAAGCCTTTAGGCGCTGAGAAAAAAGTTGCCGCTCACATTGAGTGACTGCCGCTGCCACCACATCAACGAGGTCTTCCAGGCAGTCTTCCTCAGCTCTGCTGCGCGCATTCAGCCCAGCCGGAGCTGGCTCGACCTCAGCTCTGTTTGGGGGCTCCATCCCAGCTGGAGCTAGCACAGCCTCTGCTCTGCTTTGGGCTCCCAGCCCAGCCGGAGCAGGCTCGGCCTCTGCTCTGCTTCGGGGCACAGCCCCAGCCGGAACTGGAACGGCCTCAGCTCCACTTGCAGCCGGAAACGGCGCAGCCTTTGTCCTACTTCGGGAAGCCGAACCCGACGTAGGCGCGGCCTCAGCTCTGCTTCGGGCATGTCGCCCAGCCGGAGTTGGCTCGGCCTCAGCTCTGTTGGGGGTTTCAACCCCAGCCGGAGCTGGCACAGCCTCTGCTCTGCATTGGGCCCCCAGCCCAGCCGGAGCAGGCTCGGCCTCAGCTCTGCTTCGGGGCACAGCCCCAGCCGGAACTGGAACGGCCTCAGCTCCGCTTGGGGCAAGCGCCCCAGCCGGAACTGGCGCAGCCTTTGCCTTGCTTCGGGATGCCAATCCCGACGCAGGCGCGGCCTCAGCTCTGCTTCGGGCATGTCGCCCAGCCGGAGCTGGCTCGGCCTCAGCTCTGTTAGGGGTTTCAACCCCCGCCGGAGCTGGCACGGCCTCAGCTCTGCTTCGGGCCCCAGGCCCAGCCGGAGCTGGCTCGGCCTCAGCTCCGCTTGGGGCACACGCCCCAGCCGGAGCTGGCGCAGCCTTTGCCTTGCTTCGGGATACCAATCCCGACGCAGGCGCGGCCTCAGCTCTGCTTCGGGCATGTCGCCCAGCCGGAGCTGGCTCGGCCTCAGCTCTGTTAGGGGTTTCAACCCCCGCCAGAGCTGGCACGGCCTCAGCTCTGCTTCGGGCCCCAGGCCCAGCCGGAGCTGGCTCGGCCTCAGCTCTGTTTGGGGCCAAAGCCCCAGCCGGAGCTGG